CCTATACTATGGACCAGCTGAGGCTGCGAAGAAATACTTCATCGATCTTGGCTTTGAATGTCCTGACCGCTGGACCACCGCAGATTTCCTTACATCTGTCACCGATGAACATGAGCGTCATATTCGTCAGGGTTGGGAAAACCGCATTCCTCGGACCCCTGAGGCATTCGACTCTGCGTACAGAAATAGCGAGGCTTACCGCAGGAACGTCCAAGACGTTGAGGATTTTGAGGGTCAACTTGAACAACAAATCGAGCAGCGCCGTCGGTATGAATCCGAGAAGACAAAGACCAAAAACTACGAAATCCCATTTCATAAGCAGGTCGTCGCCTGCACAAAACGCCAGTTCATGGTTATGGCCGGCGATCGAGCATCACTTTTCGGCAAATGGGGCGGTCTGGTGTTCCAGGGCCTCATCGTTGGCAGCCTGTTTTACAACCTCCCAAACACAGCCGCCGGAGCTTTTCCTCGTGGAGGCACCCTGTTCTTTCTCTTGCTCTTCAATGCTTTGCTTGCGCTCGCCGAGCAAACAGCCGCGTTTGAGTCGAAACCCATTCTTCTCAAGCATAAGTCATTTTCATTCTACCGCCCTGGAGCCTTCGCCATCGCTCAGACCGTCGTCGATATTCCTCTGGTCTTTATCCAAGTTGTCCTGTTTAATGTCATTATCTACTGGATGGCAAACCTGGCGAGAACAGCCTCTCAGTTCTTCATCGCCACACTCATTCTCTGGCTGGTCACCATGGTGACGTACGCCTTCTTCCGGGCTATCTCAGCTTGGTGCAAGACCCTGGATGATGCCACCCGGTTTACAGGTGTGGCTGTTCAGATCCTCGTGGTTTATACGGGGTATTTGATCCCTCCTGACTCCATGCGTCCCTGGTTCGGATGGCTGCGATGGATTAACTGGATTCAATACGGCTTTGAGTGTCTGATGTCAAATGAGTTCTACAATCTCGAGCTTGAGTGCAGTCCACCTTACTTGGTTCCCCAGGGTCCCAATGCAACGCCTCAGTATCAAGGATGTGCGCTCGCTGGAAGCCCTCCCGGTCAGACAATTGTTCCGGGGTCCAGCTACATCGAAGCCTCCTTCACGTATACTCGCGCCCATCTTTGGCGTAATTTCGGCTTTCTCTGGGCTTTCTTCTTCGCTTTTGTCGTTCTTACCGCCCTGGGCATGGAACATATGAAGCCGAACACTGGTGGAGGCGCCATCACCGTTTTCAAAAGAGGGCAGGTCCCTAAGAAGATCGAAAACAGCATTGCCACAGAGGGTCGGGACAAAAACAGAGACGCAGAATCTGGGCCGACAAGCAACTCGGAAATTATCGCGGACAACACCGTCACCAAGGAGAAGACTGAGGAAGACACTTTGGACCAGGTCGCAAGAAACGAGACAGTCTTCACTTTCCGCGATGTCAACTACACGATTCCGTGGGAGAAGGGTAGCCGCAACTTGCTTTCCGATGTCCAGGGTTATGTCCGTCCTGGAAAATTAACCGCCCTCATGGGCGCGTCAGGTTAGTGGGTCTCGGGTGCTCTAGATAGCTCAACTGACAACGTTTAGGTGCTGGCAAGACAACATTGTTGAATGCACTAGCTCAACGCCTCAAATTTGGCACCGTGACTGGCGAGTTTCTCGTTGATGGACGTCCTCTACCCAAGTCGTTCCAGAGGGCCACTGGTTTCGCGGAGCAGATGGACATCCATGAGCCAACCGCGACCGTCAGAGAAGCTCTTCAGTTTTCAGCCCTTCTTCGCCAGCCGCGAGAAATCTCCAAGAAAGAGAAGTACGACTATTGCGAGACTATCATTGACCTTCTTGAGATGCGTGATATTGCTGGCGCAACTATCGGGAAAGTGGGAGAGGGTCTCAACGCCGAACAGCGAAAGAGACTTACGATCGGAGTTGAGCTGGCATCCAAACCCGAGCTGCTCATGTTTTTGGACGAGCCTACTTCCGGTCTCGATTCAGGCGCCGCTTTCAACATCGTCCGGTTTTTACGCAAATTAGCTGATGCTGGGCAGGCCGTCCTTTGTACTATCCATCAACCGTCTGCTGTTTTATTTGAACACTTCGATGAGCTTCTCTTGCTTAAAGCCGGCGGTCGAGTTGCCTACCATGGCCCACTTGGTAACGACAGTCAGGAGCTCATCAATTATTTTGTGTCCAATGGTGCTCACGAGTGTCCCCCCAAAAGCAACCCTGCGGAGTACATGCTCGAAGCTATTGGTGCTGGAGATCCCAACTATCAAGGTAAGGATTGGGGCGATGTCTGGGCTCAATCAAAGAACAGAGAGGCGCGGTCTCGGGAGATTGATGATATGCTAGCCAAAAGAAGAGACGTTGAGCCTTCCAAGAATCTCAAGGACGACCGCGAGTATGCCATGCCGTTATCGACACAGACCATGGCGGTGGTGAAGCGGTCGTTTGTTGCGTACTGGCGCACCCCCAACTACATCGTCGGCAAGTTCATGCTACACATTCTCACCGGTCTGTTCAACTGCTTCACATTCTACAAGATCGGCTACGCATCTATCGACTACCAGAATCGACTATTTTCAATCTTCATGACGCTCACCATCAGTCCTCCCCTCATTCAGCAACTTCAGCCAGTCTTCTTACATTCCCGTCAAATCTTTCAGTGGCGCGAGAATAACGCCAAGATATACAGCTGGTTTGCCTGGACAACTGCTGCCGTCCTCGCCGAAATTCCTTACGCCATCGTTGCCGGAGGCGTCTACTTCAATTGCTGGTGGTGGGGGGTGTTCGGCTGGCGCACTTCCGGCTTCACTTCCGGCTTTGCCTTCCTCCTCGTCATTTTATTTGAACTTTACTATGTCAGCTTCGGTCAGGGAATCGCCGCATTTGCACCCAATGAGCTGCTCGCATCTCTCTTGGTGCCCATCTTCTTCCTGTTCGTCGTCAGCTTCTGCGGTGTCGTTGTGCCACCGATGCAGCTCCCTACCTTTTGGCGCAGTTGGATGTGAGTTATACCGCCGGTGCAAAGGTCGCTAGAATCATGCTCACTATTCTCTAGGTACTGGCTTTCTCCATTCCATTACCTCCTCGAAGCGTTCCTTGGCGCCGCCATTCATGACCAACCCGTTCAGTGCCAGCCTGGCGAATTTGCAAGATTCCAGCCACCTCCAAATCAGTCCTGCCAAGATTACGCGCAATCCTACATTGCGCAAGCTGGTGGATATGTTCAGACTGGAGAAGGGGGCATCTGCGAGTTTTGTCAGTATGCCACCGGAGACGAGTTTGGCGCAGGCTTTAGCGTCTACTACAGTAACATCTGGCGGGACTTTGGTATCTTCTGCGGATTCATTGCATTTAACTATTTCATCGTCTTTGTTGGGACTTGGCTCAAGTTCAAAGGAAAGAACCCGCTCAAGTCGGTAATGGCGAAGAGAAAAGTTGGGAAATAATTACGCAACGTACGTTCGTCAAGTCAGCTTAATTTCTAAAAACATCAATCGTAATAATATCTTGTATACTGTGCGCTTGGCTCTGCTCATGTCTTCGTGCCATTAATCTCGTGCTCTCGTTGAGTTCTGGCACCGCCACTCATCACCCCAACTTTTGTGCGAACAAGCGCCTTGCTAAACGAGAATCGTGGAAATCATAACGCTGTATCAATTGAATGGGAATCTATGAATGCCAAGATGGGTTGACTAAGTGAAGCTGTTGAAGGCGGTCTAATTCTTGAAAGCGCCACCGGAAAGCTCGTCTTCCAGGTCGTAATAAACTTGGAATTCGCAATAGCAGATCTCAGGATCGCTCTCGACGTCGAAATTGAACTGTGCCTCCTCGTCGGTTACAAGGACCTTGGGCAGTCCATTGGCCGCAGCCGCCTCGGCGAGCAGCTGCACCCGACATTGGCGTTCCATGGAGGTGTAGAGGAACGCCGCCTCATCAACAGTTTGACCAACAGTCAACAGTCCATGGTTACGCAGGATGCATGCCTTGCCCTTGGGACCAAGGGCCTCCGCAATCATCTCTCCCTCCTCTGGGCCGAGAACGACGCCGCCATAGCTGTTGTAGACAGAGTGGGCATCACCACGAAACTTGCAGGCATCCTGGGTGAGCATCTCTAGACGGCGTCCGAAGACGGACCAAGCCTTGCCATACATGCTGTGGCAGTGACACACGGCGTGAACATCAGGACGGGCCTTGTGGACGGCAGCATGGATCAGGAATCCGGCCGTGTTGGGGGGCTTCGTGCGGTTGCCGCCGATGACGGCGCCGTCGAGATTGACAAGAATCATGTCGCTAGCCTTGAGCAGACCAAAGTGCTTGCCGAGGGGGTTGGTCCAGAAGGCGTCGTGGATCTCGGGGTCCCGCACGGAGATGTGACCGCTCATACCCTCGACATAGCCCTCGCGGGACCAGTGGCGAAACGCGGCAGCCATGTGTTCAAGCTGCCACTGGCGTTGGGAGGCGAAGTCAAGGAACTTGGGGATACCGGCCAGGACAACATCGCCATGGGACATGGCCTGCAAAGGCGTCTTGTTCTGAAGCTCGTGGCCATGCTTGGAGTGCGATGCCTCCTTAGGTACGACGGCTGTACCGCCGACAGCGGGGGCGGTGTCGATAGTGGCGGACGGAGCCATGTTGAAAGTTTTCCAAAGAGACGCCGATATCCGGACTCGATGTCGTGCGTGGGTCAGAGGCGGCCTTCCAAATGTGTTTCTGTCGTGAAGATTCTGATCTCTGGTTGACGATGCGAGGCGCCTGGCTTGTAAATGCCCGTTGGAACTGGAAGTAGGTGTCGAGGCAATATGTCGGTTTACACACTGGAATGCAATCAAGGTTATGAGCGGAGAAGGAGCGGGAACAGGCCGATTGATAACGCGCGACTTGCGATAGGCGTAAATGTCAGACAGCCATTCTGTACGGGGAAGTCTGGTCGGAGCGGGGTTGCGGGGGGCGAGATAAGGTACGACCGGGATCTCTTCTCCAGAGAGGACCGGAAACCGGATACCGGCCCGGTCCAATGTTCGGACGGCCGGCTAAGGGCCAGCTTGCGGCACAAGCGGGCTCGGAGACCAGACTTGCAGCCGGGCACCCGCAAGGATTCATTCTTCTCGTGAACATCAAGACTATCACCAAACACACTCTCCGCATCATGGCTGTAATGGACGAAGTAGAACGGTGGTATGATGAAACAAAACGTCGCGAGAGGGTATGTTACAATAGCGAGCCCATGCAAATTCCACCACCCGTCATTAAACCAAGGAATTCTCTTTTACAGCGACCGTCCTCGTCGTTATACGAATACTTTTGTTTACCCTTGCTGCGCAGCACACGGTTCCCCAACAACACGCCGCTCGCCGTCACTTTCCTGAAGAATCGAGATCGCCGCTGCGTTCGTGACTCGGGCAGAACATGTACCAAAAATCCCATTAGTTTGTCATTAAATAGCAGGCAACCTGCCGGTGTTACTAGCAGTGCGAAACCTTCAGCTTAGGCCTTTCACCGCTTGGCCTGCAGAGCCTTGTCCAGGCATTGAATAATCTGGTCAAAGGTTAGTGAACGGGCGCGATATCAAGGAATGGTTGCTCAAGACATACCTCGTCTCCCCAAACACCCTGGTTGCTGAGATAGCGGCCCATCCCCCTTACCAGCTCCAGCTGCTCTTCGACGGTCAAGCCGGTAACAGCCATTTCCATGACGCTGCCAAGACTGGCTTTATTGATGGCGATGAAAGAATGGTAGTACATGTAAGTGAAGAACCCCATGATGAACTGGCAATCCATGCGATCAGTCATACCGCCATGGCCCGGAATAGAGTCGCCAAAGTCCTTGATCTTGAAGGTGCGCTTCAAGCCGGACGCGAAGAAGCCGCCGAAAGGAGCGATGAGCGAGGCAAATGTTGCCAGGACCAGGGTGTGGAACTGAACAGGGGCCATGGTCAAGGAGAGGCTCTCATTCATGTTGGGCGGGAGGAAGAAGAGCGGAGGCAGGCGGTAGGTCTTGAGGTTGAAAACAGGGTTACGAGTGCACTCGAGGCCAGTGAAGATGTTTGCGGCGAGATCCTGGGTAGGTCAGTGGCAGATCATTCCGGAGACGCAGCGATAGTATACTCACAGTAACCGGGCAGATGAAGAAGGAGGAGCGCATCAGGAGGTTGGTCAGGAGCATGCCAAAGACGATAGTCATGATCCAGGCGCCAACGAAGCCCTCGACGGTCTTCTTGGGCGACAGCTTGATCAGCTGGGTCCGGCCAAATGTGATTCCCACCAGATACGCCCAAATGTCATTGGTAATGACCATGGCGGCTGGGAGGAAGAACCAGATCATGCCCTCGAAGACGTTGTTCATGATGAAATGAGCCTGGACGACGATGAGGTACAGGGCCATGTGCGTCCATGCAAACTGGGTGAACTGGAATTTGTAGTGACCGGCCTGAAGAGATGTGACGAAGAAGACGAAACCTGAAGGAGTTAGGATCTAGGATACGTCGAAGATGTAGGGGCGCGGGGCAAGTAGAACTTACCGAAGATGTAGAGAATGAAGCTGATGAAGCGGTGGTGGGTGGCCAGGGGAAGCAGGACCTTGTCGACCAGCACGATATGCTTGAAGTAGTAGATGACGGTTTCGCCGTATAGGAAGTACATGGTGGTGGCCAGCCAGTACCAGTTGAGGCTCTTTGAGGATCGCAGCTGACGGGCGCGGCTGGGAACGCTGGCAATGGCGATGACCTCCTTGAAAGAGATGATCTGGATGGCCGTGATGATGCAGATGATGTATAGGTGGCCCATGACGAGGGCAGCAAAGAAGCCGACGAACATGACGAGGGTCCAGAAGGTGCGGGTCAAGAAGTTTGCCTTCTTCTTTTCGTACTCGGCGCGCTTCTCGTCCTCGGGAGACTGGGGCTGCTGCGATGCGGACATTTTGTTAGTAGTGAGATGGCTACGATGGCAGACTTGGTCTGAAATGCGCGGCTTGAGGAGGACGAGACAGAGCCAGAAGAGAGGATCGGAGAGGGGAGGGATGTACCTCGGAGATGTTTTGCAAAGCAGCGCCGGTCTTGATCTTGGAGGGGGAGCCATCTTCGCTGACGTCGCTGAAGCTGGAGCGGCGGCCGTCCGCGTGGCCGTTGGTCTTGTGGGGGAACTTGACCCCCCTCCTTGTGCGTGCCATCATGTCTTTTTGTGTCTGGTGTCGACTAAAAGTGTCAAGCCGGTAACTGAGGTCTCGGGTCGTGTCGTGTCGTGGGAAGCGTCGAGGGAGGTGTTCGGTCGCTTTTTCTTTTGGGCGAGGGGCGTTCACGGGCAACGTCGGTTTCCGTCGCAGGAGGCAGGCGGGTGGTTCGGATGCGGGAAGGGTCAGCAGCGGAGAGTCGGCGCAAATTGGGCCGCTGGGGTTACTGGGGAGGGGCGGACGCGGTGATGGTCGCGGTGGTAAAATGCGATAGATACCTTAAGTATGTATCGTGGAGAAAAAGTCGACAAGCGAATGTGGCCAGTTCAAAAGTGACGAGGAACTGGACCTGACGGGGTGCGGGTTCTGCGTCACGGGCCGAGAAAGCGAAGGAGTCGGGGGGGGATTAATGAGGTAAGGCAGGAGTAGGTAGGAGTGGCTTTGACGACGTGGATGTTTTGTTGAAGGGCACCTCAGGCCAGGGCACTGAGGGCAGGTATTAGGTAGGTAGCTCAGTGTGGTGGTGCAGGGGAGCTGGGCCATTGAGATGGAGATGGGATGGAGAAATAAGGTGGGTAAGTTTGGTGGTACCAGCGGGTGCAGTCAGTGAGTGCTAACACCCAGGTTCTCACTCTTTTTTTTTCTTTCTTTTTTTTTTCTTTCTTAATTTGTTCCTCCGGTGGATTTTTCTCTACCTACGTACAGCCGAGCGGGCGGACTGACAGCGGGTCGACGGAAGGATTACAAGTGCGCTTTCCTCGCTTGTGATGCCGCTGTGAGTTGGCAATTAGCCTCAAGATATCTTACTATGTACATAGATCAAGATAAGGTAAGGTTCGTAGGCATGGCATGACGGATGGCAGCACCGCAAGCCTGCAGCAATTCGATGCTCGAGCAGGCGGGCTGTTTGGTGTTAGCGGATGATGACGCTGCAAGTCAGATAGCGCAGAAAAACCTAGCTACGTCAAATCTGTGGCTTAGCGACTGACGCCCTGGAGCGTGGGAGAGGCGCCTAAGGCCCTGATCTGCCACATTCTCGTGTTTCTGGCGCCTTCACCACAGCTGCATAAAATAAGCAAAAATACTGTTTTTTGCTGCGCTATTCTACTTTAGGCCTATTTTTTGCTGTATAACTTAAGAAGAAGCTAAAACGACGTATGCAGACACTTAGATCCCTCTAGCTATTATACTACACTAAAAATTAACTGCTAAGTAGTAGGATTAACGCTCTTACTACTTAGAGAGGCTTAGTTGCTTAGCTTTCTATTTATGAGGTTATAGAACGAAAAAAGCAGTATTAGCTCTATAGAATAAGATCTCAAAGTTATAGTAGTAATAGAGAGGCTAGTAAGGATATTAGAGAGGGATATTCCTTACTATAAGATACTTAATAAGTTTATTAATATAGGGACTTTAAATAAAGGCTGATTTTTTATTTACTATAGAATATAGTAAGCCTAAGATAGATATTTATAAGCTTCTTAAATTAGTAATAGATAATAGCTTTAATAAGGTGTAAGTAGCTATTTTTATTATTATTACCTTTAATAATATTATTAATAATAATAATGATAATAAGGTTAACTTAGTAATATTTAAGTAGATTGTGATCTACCTTAGAGGGGCTACTAAAGCTATTTAAATCGCTAAGGCTTTACTTACTAAGTTTAATATTAAGTTTAAGGATACCTTCTAACTATTAAAGTAAACGTTTAACTTGCTAGTATACTAGCTGCGTTAGTATAGCGTTAATAATACTTAATACTAGTTAGTTAAGTATAAGTTGTTAATTATACTATATATCTTAGCGTTTAGAGAGCTTTAGCGTAACGCTACTTATTAATTTAAAGTATTATAGAGTGTAATATTAAGAAGCTTCTATACTATAATTAATACCTTTATTAGCCTCTATAAGGAGGTAGTAACTCTACTATTAGAATTATATATCTTACTAGATATTAAGCTTAACGCTAAAAATACTATCTTTAATAGGTATATTAGTGCTATTAATAGGACGTTAATCTCTACTTATATACTAGCTAGTTAGTAGAGGAGGTTTTTTAATTAGAAGGGTAATATCTTATAAAACGTCTTCACTATAGTGAAGTTTAACTATACCTTCTTATATATACTTATTAGTATAGAGGGTAGTATAAATAATAAAACCCTGCTTAGTTATGCTTTTATAAGATTATTTAGAGCAGAAGTAGGTTAATTTTATTTTGCTAATATTAGTTTTAGTGAAAGTAATGCTAATATTATTATACTATTTGTTAGGTAGAGATATTACCTTTATAACTACCTTAAGTTAAATATAAGGCTGTAATTAAGGAAGGAGTTATATAACCTTACTTATATAAGGCTAAGGAGTATTATTAAGAAGGTCTTTAGCTTAGTAAAGCGAAAATTTAAGATTATAAGAAGTAAGAATATAGCTAAGTATAACTTTACAACTTAGGTTAATATTATATACGCTATAATAGTAGTATAGAACTTTTTAGTGAAATCTAATAGCTTATATATTATTAACGCGTAGTAAGCAGAGGTTCTTAAGAGGGCTAAAAATTAGGTAAGATTATAGGTAGGTAAGAGACCTAAGTATAAAGTCTGCTTTAATCTTATTATATAGCTATAAGAAGCATATTAATAATATCTTAAGAGGTAGAGGGATAGGTTATAATAGTAAAAATTAGGGTAAATTACTATATAGTTAATTAATTTAATGTTTTATAGTACTTAATAGTAGCTACCCTTAATAAGTAAATATTTAGCCTATTTAGCACCCTCTAACCCTCTTAACGTTAATATTAACTTTAACCTTATTACCCCTCTTAACCTTACCTTAATATTAACCTCTATAACTTTCTTCCTCACTCTATAAGCGTGAAAACCTTACTACTAAAATTAACCTAACTAATATTATTACTCTATAAGAATAGCAGTTTATTATCCTTCTCTCATAGGTTATTAAACGCTACTACCTTTATTATTACTATTAAGAAGAAGTTTAAGGTGTTAATAACTCCTTCTAACCTAAAGTTAACTTTAAGTGAGGTTTAGTATATATTAATTACCTTCTAAATATTATTAGAGCTAGTAGGGCGTTAGTAGTACCTATTAGTGAAAATCTACTTTATATATTTACTTATATAGTTTACTACTAATATATAACTATCCTTCCTCTTCCTTACTAATAGTATAGCTATAATGTTTTCTAAAATCAGCTAGATATTAATATCACTATCTACTACCTTAATCTTATCTAGATCTTATTATTAACTTATCTACTTATAGCTATAATTATTTAACGTTATAATAGGTATT